CCCCAAAACCCCAAAACCCCAAAACCCCAAAACCCCAAAACCCCAAAACCCCGAATGGTAAAAATTAAATTGTATTATATAAAAATTTGTTAAGAAAAATAAAGACAAGATGGCAATAGGAGGGTTTAATATTCTTGGAATTGTGGTCGTTGGTGTACTGATTGCGTGTTTTTGATTCGCGCTTTATTATTATTCCAAGTTCTTTCAAATAATATCATTTAAAATCAGGATTGTGCTTAAAAATACAGTGAGAAAGGGATCAAACTTCAAAAGTTTGTATTTTCCTCTCAGAGATGATGTAAAGAAAACTGAGATGTACACTTGCCTCGAGAAAGTATATCGCAGAGAAGTCATTAAAAGGAAAAACTTCTATTTTAGGAACGTTTTAGTGCTCATGATAGAAAGATTCCACAGGCCATTTTATCTTCCGTTTCGAAATAAGGTCATTGAAAAGCTGATCTTATTAAGACCCCCAACTAGCTTCTACTGGATTTCATATCTATCTAATCTCATCTTCCTGTGGTCATTGGCTATTCTAATAGTCGGGGTTCAGTCAAACAGTGGTGTGGAAGTCAGCATTATGCAAGCTATCGAGTGGTCTATCTTGGTTGCCTTACTTGGAAGTCTTATCACATTCATATAGTGACATATTTCTGTCACAGGTATTATGCTAAAGAGGTCAAACGTGTCTTCTACACAGAACTCCAGGAAGAACAAGAACGCATATTCAAGCAAGCTTTTGTGGGCAAGCTTATTCAACTTAAAGACAAGCATTCTGAAACAGACGGAAGTCGGGAGCACAGTCAGGACGTTCAGAATGAAGAGAGAGAAGATCTCAAAATTTCTATTGAAAAGGAGTCTCTGACACAACAGAATGGCAAAATGGCTGTCATCAACAGATTCTTGAAAAACCCTCATCGTGATTGGAAGAAAAGAGAGGAATATGGAAAATCATTAATTCAGCATAAAAATTCTTATAAAGAACAGTCAATTATGAACATGCACACCAAAAGGATTAATGTTCTTGAAGAATATAGGGCTCTAGAATTGCTTTCTCTGGGTACAGCCGGAAAACACAAATGGCAGAAGAAAGACCAGGACTCTGAGAGCAGTGTTGAACAAATAGACGTTAAATCAAACCAGTTTGGAACTACATTATACGGTAAAACTGCTTCTGAGTTCTTCTCATCTGCCAAAGAGATCAAATATATGTTGAAGACTGATCAGGAGCAGGTGGGAGACCGCCCTCTGTTCAACAGTGAGCTGAAAAGAACCAATATGAGCAAAGTAAACTGGATTAACTACATCTTGGCTCCATTCTTGATACTTTGTTCAGGACTTTGTGCTTGCGCTATGTATACATTTGAAGATAATTTTGCTAGAGCAGTCTTCATCATGGTTATTGTTGGGTATATTCTAGATTGGCTGGTGTTCAGATTCATCTACATCTTGGCATTCAGTTTGTATAAGTACCTGAGACATCGTAAAAGTTGATTTAACTCTAAGGGAATTTATTGTGAAAGTGAAGTAGAAGTTGCTATGGAAGTCCAAAGACTGCTCAAAGCTAGAAAAATCAAAAGGACTCGCAGGGAAGAAGAGCGTATACGTCAAGAAGAAGAAAAGAAAAGACTTGAGCAAGAGAGACTTCAACAGCAAGAGGAAGGAGAAGAGGCACCTCTTGATGAGATTAGAGAAGAAGATGAGCCAGATGAAACTGTTGATGGAAATAAAGAGGAGACTAAAGGAGACGAAAAAGTATTCGGAGTATCTCTTGTAGATGGAAGCAGTTCTCCTAAAAATGGAAAGAAGAGGAGGAAAAATAAGAAGAAATCTGAAAAGTCACCTAGAGGAAGATCTCCCAAATCATCAAAAAGAAACTCTCCAAAATCCAAGAAGTCCCCTAAATCAAAGAAATCCCCTAAATCAAAGAAGTCTCCTAGATCGAAGAAGTCTCCTAAATCCAAGAAGTCGCCTAAATCTCCCAAATCTCCTAAGTCCCCAAAATCTGTAAAATCATCCAAATCACCGAAGTCACCTAAACCAAAATCTCCAAAGAGCAAGCCAGGAAAATCCCCCAGATCTCCTAAATCTCCCAAATCCCCTAAGTCTCCTTCTCCTAGTAAGAAATTTAAGAAGAGTGTCCCAGAACAAATTCAAGAGACTCTTAAGAAGGAAGGCGCTACTCTTAACGAGAATGAAATGGCAGTGACTAAAGCTACACTAAACACCGGTAAAACCACCATTCAAAATCTTGAAGAAAATAAAGAAGAATCTAAAATAGATGATACCCACATTAAAATTTTAGGAGATGAACATTCACTAACCAACATCGAACTTTCAACTAGGCCTAAGCAAAAGGTAAAGCTCAAAAACCTCAAGGCTAGCCCTAAGACCAAGAAATCTAAGTCTCCTAGGGCTTCAAAAGCAAAATCCCCTAAGAGTCCTACCACTGGGAAGGACTCAAAGCCCAAAAAGTCGCCTAAAGAGAGTGCCTCTCCTACTAAAAAGAAGACTAAAAATCAAAAAATTCCTGATTTCAACATGGATGAGCCAGCACATTCCCCAAGCGGTCGAAGGAAGAGAGCTAAGCCCAAGAAGCAGAAGGGCATCTTTGATGAATTTAGAAAGAGAATTAAGACTAAAGCTCAAGGCGAGAAAACACTTAAGGAGAAATCTCCCTCTAAAGCCCAACAAGAGCTGTTGATGAGGAATGCTATTGATGGCAACATACAGTTAGAAGAGGATATAGAGGAGGCTAAGGAAGGAAATAAGATAGATGATCTTGAGAGAGGAGGAGCTAATGAAGTCCTAGAGACAGAAGATAGGCTGTTTACCTCTCATGACAATGATCAGCTTGATACAGAAAGAAATCTAGCACAGGACTCTTCACAAGCTAACTTTGACAGTGAGAGCGATAGTGATATTGAAAATGCCCCTAGAGTCAAAAATAGGTTAGAGGAAGAAGAGGACATCAGAAATCTTGATAATAAGAATTACCCTAACGTTCTTGAAGATATTCAAGAACATACTCTGTTCTTGCTGAGAGCTATCTTTGATGCTTTTGATGATCAAGGAGATAAAATTACTAAATATTTCAGAAAGAATAGGTTCTCGAAAGCTTTACAAATCAAAAGCGTGAATTTGCTAGACTGCCCTGAAGAGTTACTTAGGGAATTCCAAGAATCAGATTCCAATATTCTTGATCCAAATCAACTTGGAGATTACGATGATGAGAACAATAAAACTTTACTTGAAGGAATGAACCAAGATCTATCAATGCTCAACGGATCAGAAGAAGAAGGCTCAAGATATGCAGGGCAAGATGGACTTGATATCTGGGGAGCCAACGGAAGAAAAGGAATCGACAAGTTTGGAAATCTAGAAGAATATTCAGTAGATACAGGAGAGACTCCTTGAGGTATACAAGACCAATCTATTGGCTTTCTGGCAGTTGATGAGGGCGATAAGCCATCTAACCTTGACTCAGAATCATTCGATGCTTCTGGAAAGAATGTTGTTGTCTATGACAAAGAAGATCTCACAAATTTCAGTAAACACTTGGGTTTGAACCAAGTGAAGTTAAGACCTCTTCCTCAATTTGAAGGACTTTACAGCAGTCCAGTTACTCCAAAGAATATATCTAAGAAACCTAAAAACAAGAGTCTGGACAAACTAAACCAGTTGTCAGGAATTTATGGAAGTGAGCCAGCGAACTCAATCATCAACAGAAGCAAAGCTTTCGGATTGCCCATTCCTCTAAGCTTAAGGGACAGTTTGAAAAAGGATAAGGGAAGAGTCCATTCATATGAAGGAAGAGATGATAATGTAAACTTTGGAAAAAGTATTTTTGATAAAGATCCAAAATCTCTTAGTCCTAAAGGGAGAAGAAAGAAGCTCACCGAAGAAGAAAAGGCAGCACGTAAGCTCAGAAAGAGGACAAAGAAGCTTGAGAAACAAGCTCTTGAAGATAAGAAAAAGAAGTTCAGAGCTCTTGATCTCAATGCTAAAGCTTTAAAAGAAAAAGCTAATTTAGCTAAGAAGAAAGCTAGAAAGAGAATTGCTGGCAGAGCTATTGATTATACATTCTTCCTTGATTATGAGTCTCCTTATGCGGAATATCTTCCAGCCAGATACAGAGAATGGCAGCCTAAAGAACCTAAGAAACCAGAGAATAATTTTGTTCAGCCTGGATTAGGCCCTATTGGAGAAAAGCTAGATGAAGTTTCAATGATATACAAACAAGAAAGAGAGCCTCATTCCGCAAACATGTCAAGAATCAAAGGTAGAGACAAACCTCATAAGAATAAGTCAAGCTCAAATCTTGGAGGAGAGTCTGCTTTTAGTTTTGCTAAGAACCTACATCCGAATCACAGAAAAATTTCTTCTAAATTCCATAAGAACAGGAAGAGTATATCTCAAGAAAAGAGCGTTAAGAAGCCAGGCCTGAGGCAACCAATTATTCTGGACGAATTCGATGATTCAATCCAACTTGAAAGTGAAGATGGATTACAAGTATTCAAGCCAAAGAAGGAATCAAGAGAAGAATCAAAACATCAAGTAAACACTTCGTTGATCCAAAGTGAAAGAGGACCTCATCTTATTCCATCTGGAATGGATATTGAAGAAAACAGGTACGTTCAAGAACTAATCCCATAGTGACGGAGAGTCTCTTCGCCCATTGTTCAAATCAAAGATGCCTCATAAGATAAACCCAGTTTCTGAACCCAAAAGCAGGCCATCTTCTAAAGCAAGCGTTCAAGAGACACCTGGGTTGATTACATTCGGTAAGAATTTTAAAATCTCTTCACTCATAAATTTCCAATCAAAAATTCCATAAACCATCTCCTGCTTCTGTCTTTATCATCAAAATCGCTAAAATTACCTAGGTGCTCTAAACAATGTTGGCAAAGAAAGCGAGTTGTCATCCCAAGGAGTTGAAGTCATCCAGCCCGCTAGGAGAAATGCTGCCTTAAGGCCAGAAGAAGAGCAGGATGAGAAGAAAGAACCCAAAGAAGACTTCAACATCATAAAGATTAATTCATTATTCTAATTGATCATCAACCTCCACTAAAATCCCCGGGGTTTTGGGGTTTTGGGGTTTTGGGGTTTTGGGG